TTGGCTGTTGTACAAACATGACATTAACTCCACGATTGTATCATAGATTAAGAATTTTTCTTCTGTACAGAATCAATGATGTGCCTCTTGACCTCTGTCATCTAATGGACGGAAGGTATTTTACATCTCCTGCTCCTCCTGGACAGTTTGTAGAAATTACTCAAAATCAACCCTTACAATGTTGTTAAGCACACCTGATCAAATCAGAAATAGTTTCCACACAAATTCCCTGACTCTCATATTAATGGTATTTCATGTACGATTGTTGCTTGCTGTGTATATGTTTCAACATAAATGTTCATTATGTAGCATTAGTGGTCGAATTCCGATGTATTGGAGGAACAAAGTTCCATTGGTTTGGAATTGACGGCCCCTGAGAATATAGTGCTTTAGTTTTTGCTGGATTGATATGGAAAGGCGCTGTGTGTGTGTGTGTGTGTGTATCTTTTGTGGGATTTTGGTAATTAGTGTGCTCGACTTAGTATAGTTTGAGGAAGGATCAAAATGTCGTTTCGTTACGTTACGCTTACCTTTCTATGGAAAATGAAATGACTAAGTGACTCACTTTTGAAAATTTTTATGTTTCGACATGTTTTAAAATGTTTTCAGCTGATTTATTATGTTTTTTTGTCAATGTTTTAGAAATAATGTCTTCAAATTTTCATCTGGTTTTTAAAATGATTTTAAAACATTTTCCAAACTTTATATATGAATATTTTGTTCAACGGTCAGGGGTATCTTGGTCAAGTTATGCGTACTTTCACTAATCTCTTTTTCGGTCTAGTCAAAGCTAGAGATTATAGCTAACCAATATTATGCAATAAAATGAAATTTTGATCCTTTTGAGTTTGGGTTGGTTGTTAAAGGTGAACTTTCTTCTCTCTCCGCTTCTGCAATGAATGGTAAGTGGCTGCAAATCTCTCCAAGGCTGCAAAATTTGCATGATGGTTGAAAATTAAACAAGAGAGAGAATAAAAGTTGGCATGTATGAAGTTCTTATGCTTCCTAGTTGTATCAGCTGTACAGTTGTGTTCTTGACCAGGACTTGGCTCTAATGCTTGAGGTGCTCAATTCGATTTGGTTCATCTATTATGTTGGGTTCTTATGCTTTGTTTGGTATACTAGAAAAATAGAAGGATAAAAAGTTAGAGAGATAAATAAAATATCATATTTGGTAAGGAAGATAAATAAGAAGGATGAAAAAAAAAGATGGATTTATTTTTTTTTAAATTTACCAAAATTAATCCCTCCAAAATCGGAAGGAAAGTTAATGAAAAGTTAATTATTTATGTTGAGATGTATTTTATTTGTCTATATATCGTTTGATATATATACATATATTATGTATACATTAATTTCATATAAAAATATAATTATAAAATATGTATTTATAATATATATATATATATATATATATATATATATATAGTTTAAAAAAATTAAAAAAAAAATTCATCTTAACTAGAGGTAAAAAAATTTGACTCAACATGATAACACGACTCAAATTCAATACGAATTTTATGATATAAACTTGATTATATATTGACATGAACTTAAAAATGACATGACACACAAAAAAGAAATATAAAATGTTCATATTCAGTTTAACTAGTCAAACTCAAAATTAACATCATTAACGCGTTTATTTAAAAATAAATACTTTAACATGGATTTATTTGAGTGAAAATAAAATATTAACGTTAAATTTTTTATTCAAAGTTTATGTGGGTCAACACCAATACGAATACGAACATGAACACGAACACGAACACGACACGAAAATAAATAAGTCAATTCGCAACTCGACACAACACAATTAGTTAAATGAGTTGAGTTAGGTTTGACTAATGTTCGACATAAATCCGTAATGACTCAATACGAATCTAACACGACTCAATTGTCACCCTTAATCTTAGCCATCATAAAAAAAAATTAGTTATTTTTATTTTTCATTCATCCAACTAAATATGAAGTAAGGAAAGTGTATCATTCCTATTTTTCTTCCTTGAAGGATAAAAAATGTATCTCTCATATTTTTCATCTTTCCTATCAGATGGAGCATTACAGATTGATCGATAACTAACTTGTGCCTGCCAATGTATAAAAATTGTTTCGACATCAACAGAAATAACGAATTTGAAATTGTTAAAACACAAAAGCGAAAAGTGATAGGATGATGTGGTCATCGCATTATGAGCTGGCCTAGAGGTGACAATCTTAACCCGTTATTTATTAATCTGTTCAACTCGTCCATAAATAAGTGGGTTGAGTACTTATATCTATATAATAAAATGCAATACAATTCAAATTTCAAAAGATAAATATAATGACTTTTACTTTTCGAGGATGAGATCTCTTTAAATTTTATTTTAAAGTTAATTCGTCGATTAATATTAACACCCTAAATTTAATAGGAAAATAGAACCTTAAGAGTGTATTTGAGTAACTTTTTAAAAATGTTTCTAGATTTTATAACTTCTCATAAGTACTTTGAAAACAAAAATATTGTTTTGGAACCGCTCCACTCCCACCAATACCACCACCACCATCTCTACTATAACAATTACCACCATTACTATTGTTGTCACGATTCTCATTGTAGCCACCCTACCTTCACCCCATCACCACTATAGCAGCTACCCCATCACCCACCTCTTCACCAACAACCACCACCATCGCCCCACTATCACTACTAGTCTCTACCACCATCATTACTACTACTATCGTTGTCGCCACCTTATCACCACCGCTATTATTTCATTATCACTAGCACTATCGTCACCTTACCATTACCACCACTGTTCTACCATCACCCCTACCATCTTCATCGCCTCATCACCACTGTCACTGTTGCACAACTACCACCATCAACAACGGTAATCATCACCCATCACAACTGTCACCGATTCTCACCATTTCAACTGTCGCCCACTACTGGTCGCCCCCACTATAATCGGTATTTAAAATTTATTTTTTTCTCTTCTATCTTTGTAATTTGATTTTAGGTGTGAATACAAATATATTTATCGTTGACCATTTTTTTTATTACTCCGAGCCTTCAGGCACAAGAATAACTAGTTAATTAATATGAGTTCTAAATAGGTTGTGTAATATGATTCATTTTAATTAAATGGGTTAATATGTATTATAAATGGGTACCCATTGGATTGAATGTTTATCTTTTTATTAAATAACACAAGTAATAAAATTAAATAAATATACTTATATATCAAAAAATACACACATATACACTAATACACCAAAATATATACACACTAGTACACTAAAAACACACACTAATACAACACGCCATGACCCACATGTTGACCCACGACCCCATGGGTTGACCCATAACCCACAGACCAACTCATAGCCCACAATCGACCCCAACCTATTATGTGTATATTTTTTTTTATTAAATGTGTTTATATATGTGTGTGTATTTTGTTGTATTAATGTATATTTTTACTGTATTAGTGTGTATATTTTTAATATATTAGTTTGTGTGTGTTTTGGTGTATTAGTGTGTATGTTTATTTTTTGGTATACTACTAATGTGTGTGTGTGTATTTTGATGTATTATTGTGTTTATTAAAAATTTTAATTATTTTATGGGTTAATTAGTTTAACCCAACCTGTTATAAACCCAACACATTTTAACTCATTTATTACGTGAGTGAAAAATAAATTGGATTTATTTTAATTCAATCTAATTTAATCTAATTCATAACCAACCCAACCAACCTATTTGCCACCTTTAGACTGACCTGTTAGTCCAATGGTCCACTAGGCCATGAAGATGAAATTGATATTTGAGGAACTAAATTGAAATAAATAAAAATTTACGGGCTAAATTAACCTTGAAGATAAAATTAGAGATCAATTATAAAAAGATTATAAAAATTGAAACAATGCGGATGTCGTCACTTATTAAATATCTAATAAGAACACATACTTTATGTGACTCGAAATATTCGTACCTTCTATCTATCGTATACAAATACGTACCTTATTGACAATCAACGGACTATCAAGGTCCTGTTGCCCCTTTATAGGATCTAAAAAGAGTGAAATCTGCATTGATAAGTTAGTCATATGAGATTAGACTTAGAATTAATCATAATTTCGGGCGTCTTATATTTAAATTGAACAAGTATTTTTTGAGTGTAATCGATACTTATGATTTATAGACAATTGAAAATATCCACGGTTTATTTTGTAGGATAGGTTCAAGGTAAGACTGATAATTGAACCGAATTATTCAGATTTGATTTATTTTGGGTTTGATTTGTTTTCTAAAAAAATCGATCTTCAATAATTTTTTAAACTCGTTTATATATAAAATAATTGAACTACTCGGACTTAGTTCATATTAGACTCTGTTTAAATTCGGCTCGTTTTTCTAAACGAGTAGAACGAGTCAAGTTTGAATAATTTTTTAAATTAATTTAGAAAAACAAGCTCGACCGACTTAATTTAAACTCGCAAAAATTCAGCTCGATTATCAGTCATATTTCAAAGTCAAATGCTTTCTCCTAATTAAAAAAAAATGAAAAGGGGGCAACAATGAAAAATCGAGAAGTTCTAGACCAAATAAAATAAAATAAAGTGGGTTGGGGATAGCAACCAATATTATCCAAGAGAGCCGGAATTACTTGGACTTAGTTCATATTAGACTGTTTAAATTTAACTCGTTTTTTTAGACGAATCAAGATTAAATAATTTTTTAAATTTATTTAAAAAAACAAGCTTGACTGACCCAATTTAAACTGACAAAAATTCAACTCAATTATCAGTCGTATTGCAAAATTGAATGCTTTCTCCTAATTAAAAAAATGAAAAAAAGGGGCGAAAATGAAAAATAGAGAAGTTCTGGACCAAGTAAAATAAAATAAAATAAAGTGGGTTCTGGATAGCGATCGGCATTATCCAAGACGAGAACCCTGTAAATCTTTATTGTTGGATTATATCAATGCAGTTTTGTGTGTGTGTGTGTGTGTGAGAGAGAGACAGAGAGAGAGAGAGAGAGAGAGAGAGAGAGAGAGATGGAGTTGTTTAGTTGCCTTCGACTGAGTAGGCTTCGGAACGGAGACGCAGAGCCGGAGACTCATGACTCTGCTGGAGAGAGAAACCTCGATACAGAGGTATCGTCTAGTGAGAGAAAGAGAGGGACTGAGGTTGAAGAACCTAGTGAGAGAAACGTAATTGCTGAAAATCCTACAGAAACTGCCACGGCAAGCCTTTCATCGGCTGAAGAGGGAAAGCTGAGATCCACTGAGAGCCCTCCGGCCGATGATTGTTGTCCAATCTGCTTCTGCAGCTTCGTCTTTCCATGCCGAGCACCCTGCGGCCACTGGTACTGCGGTAAGACTTCGAAATTTGAAACTCTAATCGCAAGCCACTTTTTGGTTCCTAAGAAGATTTATGAGAATGATTGCATGAAATTAACATTCAGTACTGTTTTAGAATGGTTGTTATTTTGCAGCTGAAGATTTATTGGCACTCTAGTTTGATTATATTATCGAGAAGGAAAGAATAAATGACTGGAGTTTTCTGTGTTGCGTAGTTCTTGCTCTAGGATCTGCTTAGTTGTTGTGACAGTGTTGAGAATGAAGGGAATAATTGTTTTGAATTTGAAATATATGATCAAGATCCTTGCCGTTTCGGAGCATGGAATTTGTTCTTGGAATTAGGAATCGAATATCTCATTGTTTTATCAAATTTTCCCCATTCCGTGTCCAAGGATTATATTCCATGTTTCCAAAGACAAACAGAAGTATATTTCTAATTGTTCTATAGATTGTTGCATAGTCAATGATGGATCTAAGTTGGTGTGGGAAAGGGCGATAATTCCCCCCCCCCCCCCCCCTTCCAAAAAAAAGAAAACACCAACAACCAAATAAAAAGAAAGAATAAAGACTTTTCGAAAATTTTGAAAGACCATCCCCAGGGTAAAGTCCTTGTACTATGGAATTTTGTAGTAAGGAAAGGATTAGTCTCCCATGTTATATGCAGGTCCAGTCCTCAAATTCTTAGCATTCTGGGAGATGCTACTTTTCAACTAGGATATGACCTTCTTCAAGTAATTATAATGGAAGCGCTAATTCCATTTTCCAGGTACTGTAACTCAATTGCATGTAGAAAGTTACTACCTGTACATTTTGTCTTGCCACTGAATTTCTCTTTTGTTTCAAAGTCCTTTGTTATGAAGTCGGCATTCTCCTAATTTTTCAGGTTCAAATTTGTATGTTTTAGAGTTAGTCTTCAATTTTTTCAGGTTTAAAAATCACATATTTTGAAGTTGGTTTTTTCCTTGTACAGGGGGTTGCATTTTGCAGTACTGGAACCATATTGCAGCACTTAAGCCTTGCAAGTGCCCCATGTGCTCTCAGCAGATTACTACTTTGACACCCGAAGCATCATTATTCCATCAGCCGGAAGTGGAGGTTACTGAGATTCTGAGCAATGTTCAGAGATATAATCGCCTTTTTGTTGGAGGCATTTATGGCCACATTGTGGTGGGTTGACATGACCTGCTTTTAAGCTTTTATAAAATATTCACATCTGAGCGAGCTTTGTGTAATCACTCATTCATCATTCCTCCCTTTTTGTCCGCACGTGTATAAACCTCTAGTTATGCTGTAAGGAGGCTCTGTTTGATTAGTTGGAGCCATTTGGATGCATTTTTTGCATGTTGCTTGTGTTCCATTGAAGGTGGTGTCTCCCTGTTTTACTGCAAAATAGAAAATAGAAACAGGTCATCCGAACAAAATATGATTCATCAAAATCTAACATGCAGCCAAACATGATTTCTGCTTCACCACTGGCCGAACAAAAGAACACTATTCTTGGCTGGTTGGAATTTACTGAGGTGGTGAATGTTTTTTTATGTCACGTGTCACAAGTCTTCCATTATGGCATGCTTGTGCCTGTAAGGTATGGTACTGATCACTGTAATGCCTTACTTTAAAAAAACATACCTTGGTACTTGCCTGATGTTTAGATCTTCCATTAAAGTTCACTTTGTGATTGAGGAATCACTTTTAATTTGTTAGGTGACTAGGGCAATTATTTTTACATTTTGATTGTATTTTATGGGATTTTTATTGCAACATTAAACAGCCAAAGCCACTCACAAGGCCATCATCAAGTATTGATTTGGTATTTTGAAAATATGTGGCCATATGGATATCCACCAACAATCATATGCAACATTTGCTCGGGGGTTGAATAAGGACATTACTAAAGCAACTAGCCCTTTATCTACTTTAGCTTTTATGTTCAGGCACATTTGCACCAATCAATGAATTGTTGTAAATTTGGAGTGCTATCATATCATGTCTCCTTCTGTCACTACCAGGGTCAATAGATTTTTGCTGAAACTTTAATCATATATTGCTTTAGGTTCCAGCATATACCCAAGTGTGGTTATCAGTAGTTAAAAATTATTGTTTAAAAGGAGCTTTTGGAATATCCAAAGAATATGAATGGGTGATTTGTTTTCTATTCATATGTCCGAGTAGTGGTTAAAACGACAACAATAATCTTGAAGATACTTGGAATATTTGTTGTATTTTTTTAGTAATTATGATCTCTGTTTTACAATAGTTGGGTGGGTCTTGGTATAGCGATATAGTTGTTCTATTGCGATATAGTTGTTCTATTGTGATCTGGGCGTTAAGGGTTCGAGTTGTGGATACAATATCTTGGCATGCTGGTTTAAGGTTGCATACATTTGACTCTCTGCAAACTCTGGGCGAACCTCGTGTACTTGGCTGCCCTTCGTTTTTTTGTTTTATAATTACTTTAATTGATCTGTCCATAATTTAAAATTGATTCTCCTGTATTTTTTAGTGTCATAATTGATAAGTTTGTCTTATCTAAAATAATTAACAAACTGGGAGTGCCAGCTGGTTGCAAAAATTTTCATTGATCTTTGATTGCATGGAGTAAGGTTAGTAACTGCAAACTTTTTTGATTGACTATCCATCTTTAGTATGAATGTTCACTACGATTTAGTTGGATGATATAGGCTCACAGTTTTTTGGATTGTCACTTGATCCCAACCCTCATGCCTGCGTCTTTGTTGATTGTCTCACAAATGCGTTCAGCATTTCATGACTGCATGATTATCTTTCCTTTGTATTTAAATTCTCTCTTCCTTTTGTTTTTGCCAGAAAGTGCTTGAGTTGCCATTGGTCACTAAGAGAATAGTTTGTGAAATGATGGATCCTGATAGACCTGGTGCTCACCTCAAAAACTTGCGCCTGCTTGCAGTTAAGTTCATCTAACAGTTGATGAAATCAAATGTAATACATTACCATTTCGTTTTTTTATACTTCAGTTTTCCTGTTGGCCTTAAATTTTCTAGGACTAGCAGCCGTCTCGGTGTCCGCTATGAACAAGAAGTATTTGTGCACAATGATTTATGGACGTGTGCGTGCGTGCGTGCTTGTTTATAATTTGTCAGTCTCTATGTCGTGTTTGTTTTGGATTGCTCAGTGTTTGTGTGGTCTTATTTCCTAGGTGTTCTAATGCACCTAGAAAATATGTAATATGTTGTGAATCAAGGTGGTTTTATTTCCTAGGCTTTTTGGACTGATCAGTTGTGGTGTGATTCAGTGATTCACATCCATATGTTTTGAATTTTGAGTTTCTTGGAATTTGTGAGGTGCAGGTATTTGGAATTTCTAAATTCTTATTTGTGTTTGGATGGAATTTTTTGTCCTAGAGTACTTTGTGCATTGTCATGATAGTTGATAAGATTTTCAAACCTGGTGAGGATTCTGAAAGAGATATCAATTGGGTTGTCTTCAAGCCCTGGGAATTAACAGTGAAATACGAGAAAGCTAGTGGAAACATGGTTGGTGTTTTACCGGATTAGTGTTCACCACCTGTCGGATTACGATTGAGCTTTTACATACATACTCATATATGTGTATATTTTAGGGGTGGGGAGGGTTTGCCGACTGCTGTTTACAGTATTTGACCTGCTGTACTGTTAGTAGCATCTTGATCTGTTCATGATAAGTGTATTTATGCTCGTAACATGATCAGCTCATAGAGTTGTTCCAATCCAACTGGTTACATAACCCTCTAGAGCAAATTGTAGATGAATATGTACCATGTAATGCCTATATTCAATTAAGTAAATTTTGTGAGGATGTAATCTTCACTGTATCATATTTTGGCTGTAACAAACTACTCTATTCATGTACTCTGACTACTCTTAAGGCATTACTGTTTCAAATATAGACATTTGCCTCATGAACCTTATTTGTTGAAGCAATTCATAGTTGTCTTTCTTGTTTGCAGATATTTTTGGGTTTCCTTTACGCAATCAGCCCCTTTGACTTCATTCCAACAGGTATTTTGCCTCGATCTTCGAATTAAGAAAAGAATGGTGGTTTTGCTCATGGTTTTTTGTTGTGGTCATGTTTATTGTTAAAAGAGAAAAAAATAAGATGATTGAAGTTTGAACGAGTTTCTTGGACCCTCTTTTAAGTTAGGAATATGCCCTATAATTATGTCATTTATGAGGTGAAAAAATCATTTTTTTTTGTTGATTCTCATTGGTGAACATTTGGTGTTTGATCTTCTGGACCAAGTTCATTTGGGTTCATTGTGCTTGTTTTGGTTTTTCCCCAGGTTTCAAATTGTGCCCTCCCTTTTGGCCATAGAATTGCTCCATGCCCCAAACTCAAACCCAAACAAGTAAACCCGCAACAAACCAAAAACCGAAAAAAAAATCTAGGCAAGAATGCACACCATATGCTGAAATTTGATTGTAGGGACTTGATCCTCGAGTTTTTGGTATGACTACCAAGACTTTACTAGCACCAGTGTCGTGAACCTTGCTCCACTCATATTGCTTGACAACCATTCTTTCCTGTCTGATATTGGTTAAGCAACCTGGTTTTTTTCCCCTGAAATCTTATGCATCACTTTGTTGCATCTAACATCATTTTGTTGCATTTAACATCAAATCAAGTTCTCTCTGCTGTTCTGCAGGGTATCTGACTATCATAGATGTTTTTGATTACTCTGCTATGGTTCTCTCTTTCATCTTATATTTGGCCGGCCTCTATCTCCGACGAAGACGTTTCCAACAAGTGAGGGAGTTGGCTGCCATCCAAAGGTGACTTTTTTGAACTGCTAGCTTCTGCACGATTGCACCACGTCTCCCCCTTCAATTCTGAGATGGATCTTGGAACTTGGTGATTATATGGATTGGTGCTGTTACCTTGCAGCTTGTCTGTATCTTTCTATAGATATCTACTTTAGCCTAGGGAATTTGAATAGTAAGTTGGGTGTCATTTGGTCAAAAACTTGGATCAGTATGTACTGGTACAAGTCAATGTATATGGGAGCACCTTCTCTTTTTGTTTTCTTTTTCTGTTCATTTGGGAAAAGAAGTACTTTTTGTACGAGTTTATTGCATATTGTGTAGGTGGGGTGGAAAGTTTGATTAATAACGAGTAAATATTCACAATGTCGTCATTGTGACGTGTCACTATTCAATAAGAAAGAACCAAAAGAATAAAGTGAATCTAATTTTTTTACATGAAGTATTTATTAAATTATATTGAGGGACTAGTAATAAATTTGTGCTTGAAGATACTTTGTAATATTAAAAATTGAGCATTGATTGTGTAATATTATATTTTAAATAGTAATTTATTTTTATTTAACTATACAATTAATAATTAAAGTGAACATAGAGAAAATAAGAAAGGCAGGGGAGAGAGAAAAGAAACACTGGTGTGGAATTGATATTGGAGGTCGTGAAGAAAATAATATTTTTTAATTGGTTCAATTTTGATTGTTGTGTTTTTATAAGTTGAGAATTTAACTTTTTAACTATAATATTAGATAGACTAGTAATAGTCTCGTATCTAAAAATACTATGTTATATTAAAAATTGAGTATTGATTGAGTAGTATTTATATTTTAAATAATAATTTTTTAATATATTAAAATTAAAGTGAAAAGAGTAATACGAAAGTGAGAAGTAGATGTGAGTGTTGGTTGAATCAAGTAGAAGAAAATTGCATAATTCCTAATTTTGGAATTTTTATAAATTCAGAATTCAATTTTTTAATTATAAAATTAAAAAAAAACTATAGTATTAAATAGATAGTTATAAAATTGTTATAAAATCACTTAGGGCATTTTTAACTTTGACTCAAATTCAAACTCAAATTAAAATTTGAGAAAAAAAATTCAAAAAAATTACTCTAATTTTTGACTTAAACTTACATCAAATTAAAAAAAAAAATCTTTTTTGAACCCAAATTGATGGATACCCAAACTCTATATCAATATCCAACGGCTACTTTTTCTCTTCGATTCAACGCCTTCGCCAAACAAACTTCTTCCTTTCAACGCCTCTAGATTTTCAACGCCACTAGAAGCCAGGAACGACGACATCGACCGCCCATCGTTCTTCTTCCCTTCAAAATTTGTTTTGGTATAAACTCTTACCTTACCCATTGTTGCAACTAGTAGAATCCCCTTCAATTTTTTAATTTTTTTTTTCTGTTTTTTCTACTTGGTTATGACTTTTGTGCAACCGGTGGAATCCCCTTCATCGACTGCCCAAATGTGTGGGATCTTTGTGCAACTGGGAGAATCCCTTTCATTGATTTTCAGCAATTTAGGATTTTTCCTGCCATTGTTGATGAACTTTTGTGACAATATTGAAATTTTTTAAAAGAATTGAGTAAATATTTAAGTTTCTCTATTAGAGTAATATGTACAAAATCAATCTTTTTATTCAAATTATTTTTACATAAATTTGAGTAAATATTGAACTTCCATCGGAGATGCTCTTAAATAGATAATTAAACACATTATGAAATCACTTTTCCACATTTTAATTATCCATGTCATATCGTCACCGACTCAGATGACGTGGGACGATTTAGTTGTGGCGTATCAAGTGATATATACGAAATGTAAAACATAAGTAATTGAACGGGACAAGAAATTAACCTCACACCTCACATAATGACATCAATCTAATGATTCAATAATTCAACAAGTCACAATATTTTTAAGTCAAACTACGAGTCGAGTGAGACTTGTATTTACATTGCAACATTTATTGATATCAAAAATCAAAATGTATGGTATCATTTTAAATGGAACTCTACCAAGTCGTATGTACAATTTAGAACCTCCCACATTTATCCCATTATTGACTAAACCAATCTTACTCTATACACAGCCCCATGACAAGTGGAAAATAATGTATTCGAACGAGTAGCCATACATAAACCAACTTTATCCTGGTTGTTACCAAAATGCAATGCAAACAAGGAAACTGAATCCCAACAGAAAATAATCCTTTTATTACATAAAATCAATAATTATTTACAATTTCTACTTTATTCATGAGTGATTATTACACGATACAGTCCCCTACCTACCATATACACTGTACCCAAGAACCAAGAATAACAGCATTGTCCTTCCTTCACATGTTTTCTATCAACTGTGCATACCACGGCCCATGAACACCACTCGACACGGTAGCTGCCACCAACAATACTGTTGCAGCTTCCACCACACGATCCATTAGAACGACTGCCCCCACCTGCCGCAGTGACATCTCCGCCAATTCTCTTCCATCTGTCCCAGTACCCCCAAGTACCACTCCTCTTAGAGCCAAATATATTGCATGGGACACCCGAGTGAAAACAGCATCCCCAGCTTGCAAGCTCTTTGCTAACATTCTGGACATAACATCCTTCCTTGACTGAAGTTTCACGGGATCCATGGGTTTGTCGACATGTTCTGTCACTTTGCTGAGTATCTCCATGATCTCCTTCATACCCGCATCCTCAACAGTGTCAAGGAGCTCGGACAGTTGTTTGGCACAGGTCAATACCATGCTTTCCATCACTGCAAGGCTGCCTACCTTTTGTTCACTGATAAGAGTCTGCCTCAGAACTAGAATGCTGCACATATACATGAAACAGAGAAGATGTATGAGTATGTATGGACATGAAGACATGATAGAACATTGATGGTCCCCGATTCCAGTTCCCATTCATTCAAGACATGACTCAATTTGGAGTAGATATTCAAAATAAGATGGGAACACGCTATCAGTGACACATGGAATAACTACTGCATTCAACATGTTCCAATAACCATCACATATTTATATGTGAGGTTCACAGGAAGTGTTGGAACTGTCGGTGGTCATATACCAGATCACTTGGTATGAACGTTGTATTGAATATTTACTCTAAAATTTGATCACCACCGTACCCCCATTTTTCTCTCCTCCAGCAGGGTGGTGTATGCGGCTCAAATGGGGGCACGAGGGTGATGGAAGAAATACACCATTTCTGTTTAACTGACTGGGTTACTAATCATTTGTTTGCTGCTGATAACGTACTATTAAATCCCATCAGAAAGTGGGAAAGAAAGAGGGTAAAATCCAGTATGACTTACCTGGTGGCAATTACAATGATCTTCTGAAGTTGGGCCTGAACATCCCTTAACCTACAGAGGTTGAGCTTCAGAGTTTCAGGCAACAATCCTTGCGTCAGACCAGATACGCCCCTTACCAACTTCAATAAGCCAAGCCTCACCAACAAATCAACGTTTTCTCCTGTGCATTGCGGATGTTGATTATCTACTCCTTGAACTGATGGGCTTGGTTGGCTTTCACTCATTTTGGTCAAGACACTTCCGCCAGTTCTAAGGGTGGTGGAAGGAAGAAGTCGCTCAGGTAAACTTTCCTGTCTCTGTGTCAACTTTAAGAGTGCATTCACGTGTTCATTCCATTCCTGGTCTTTAATATCACTCACAGATGAAAGCCACTGCATTGTCAGAGGTAGAGCAGTCAAGCCAGCAGAGGGAGGTCCATAACGGTGGGCAAAAGATTTTTTCAAATAATCCAAGCCAGCAGGACCCTTCAATAATGGTTCCAACATTTTCATGCGGGCTTTGCTAATTTCTTGCTTGAGTGCCTGCCACAAAAAACACCTGTTACATTATATATTGCACGTAGGAGTTGCAGCCTACAAAGAAATGCACATGTACATATCCTAACATGCTTCCTTTACCAATGATGATGTGCAATGGGGCTCATAATTCATAATATCTTATTATTATTTGTGCAGTTCCTAGTTTGATTTCAAACATTTATCACCACTGAATCATGAAGGATGACAAACTCTTGACCACTTAGTTCATTTTATCCATTCCCATTTTTTCATCATCATCATATCATGACATCTTTTCTCATGTATATAAAAATCCCGACATGTTTTACTGTTCTAGATAAGCAGTTCTGTCTACATCTAATATTTATCCCAATTATGCTAACACTCTTAAATGCCACAGTTCCTCCACAGAAGTCTTAACGCAGAGCAGCAGACACTGATTTATGTATGCAACAGAATGGAATATAGAGAGGATGAGCACAGACAAACACCTGAATCTGCTCTAACACAAAGCGCAACCCTTTGATCAATGCGATGACATTTGTTTTATCCAAGCTATCTCTAGCCTGACATATCTCGGTTAGTTCTTTCAATAATTTCTGATAATCTGCCTTTAGTGCATCCTCGTTAGCTGGAGCGGAGAGCTTCTGCAACGTAACCAGTGAAAACTCCAGAATCCTTCCAAGATAATCCATGTCCAGTGTACCCAAATTCAGCACCTAATGAGGAAGAAAGATAACAGAATCAACATCTAGTTCAACTGCCAACAATGACTACAAATCTTGGTAGCAACAGGAGTTTTATTAATCAGAAAACACTACCTGAGAAAGAATGTCCAGATCAATAGCTTCAATAATTTCTTTTTTCCAGCTTTGAGGAGCCATCTCACAAATTTCGTCCCTCACTTCCCTCAAAAGTTCAACAACGCGGCCATAGTTCGGTTCATCCTGTTTCATGGATTCTATGACGCCATCCCAGAAAGCCTGCTCCATTGTTTCCCTTACCCTTGCCTACACAATAAGTAAGCAATTAAATCAGTTTATACAATTTCAATTTGAGGCTGAAGAAAAAAAATATCAATTCTGTTTTTCGATTCTTTTGATAACATTTTGGGGTGTTTATCAACTTCCAATTCTTCTATGCACAGTAGTCATCTACATAGAGATGATTATAAATTTAGCTTAAACCTTTTCTCCCAAGGAACTAAAATATTAACTAATTAGAAACTTCACGGACCTTAATATTGTTCTGATCTTCTTCAGCATCATTAAAGCCATCAAATAACATAGGGCCCCGCCCATGAACAAATTCATTCACAATTAATTCATTCTCCATTTCCAACTTCTCACCAAAATATTGGTACTGGCTGCTGCTAGTAGAAGACGAAGCAGCTTCTTTGAGTGGGAAAGAAGCTTCATCTCTAAATAACGAGCGAACTACACGGCTGGTTGTCCTCTCGCTACCCTCAATTCCAGTACTACTTTTATCTGAGCCAGCAACAGCAGTAGGGGAAGCTGGGGAACTAGGTAGGCTGGCAGATAAAACGTGTCTGATCGGCGATGCCACTGGGATTCCA